GTTTCTCAGCATCCATCCGGGTGCATCCTCATAGTTTGAAGGATCAGCGAAACAGACAAAGCAGTCTTCAAATCTCGCACCTCTGAAAAAGCCATCCTCGTAGGCTAGGAGAGGAGCAATCCTCCACCGTGGGCCATCGTGATTAATTGATTCCGTAAACCCGTCGGTAACTTCTGAGCTGCTTTCGAACACTGTTCCATTTCTGGCACCATGAAGTCTCCTGGCCAAGAAGAACCCTCGCTGGCGGTCTTCTACACTGTAGCTCCACGTCTTGACCGTCTCCACGAGGTTTGATAATTCAGCATCTTCTAGACCCCTAGCCGGTGACACCGCTCCTCTAGTTTGACAGGAGTTGACATTTTCCTCGGTCCTCTCAAGAAGGGCCCAGGAAGGGCTCGAGTGCAGTGCCGGGAATGCGAACCAATAGTGAAATTTGTATTTCTTTAGATCCGCGTACGACAAAATAAAGAATGACGCAAGCAAGGAGGGGCACGAATAAATAGTGCCATCGCATATGGCATCCCAGACCTAGTATGTCTACAAGTCAGTATGATCCTGGTTGATTCATAAGTGCGTGCCTAACCGTTTTCGCGGACTGCTGGAGAATATGTGCCTTATCGATGTTTGTATACTCCTCGAGTGTATTGACATTCTTTATCAATCCTTCAGCTCGATAAAACCCAGCCGGTGTCCTGGTAGCCAGGCAGCTTGTCAATATATATTATTGTTCGTAAACACCCAGACCCGTAGTAGATCATAACTCACTCATCTGTTGTCAGGGCGTTCCCATGTATCTGCATTCGACAGGAGGCATTAGGAAGGTCTGTAGATCGAACCTCATAGAGACCTTGCACTTTACGGGCAGCATCGTCAAGCTTGTCGTGATTAATCTTAAGCGAGGATAAAGCCGTATAGAATGGGAACTCTATATCGGAAGCGAACGGAGTGTAGCGCATTGTTGAGCTCATCTCCTTTTAAAGTAGGGTATGACGTTGTTGCGTTCCTCGAGAATAGAGGAGCTATGAAAGTAGGACCATATTCCACGGTGCGTGAACTGATCTTAAGAGTGTGGCGGACTCAGAACAGCGTCCGCAAAATTACAGTGCTTTCGCTATATACTCGAAATATTGTAGGGGTGAGGGGACCTTAAGCGTGTCTGCTGGGGAAGAGGGGGTGATCTATCTATCTGTGGTGGGGCAAGAAGTCACAGGGTATAGTCATTAGTAACTTAGTTGACTACCCCACCCTTGGGATTAAGATACATACGTTCTAGCCTTGGTACGGCCTGTTGTATTTGATTTTGGGGGTTTGCGCTCCGCTACCTTAAAAGCTACCAAGAACTTATTACTTGTGTAGTGAGGTACATGATACAGTGTTCCTCAGTACTACATCGTAATATACATGTGTCGCTACGCAGGGGTTCTACTATATTTTGCTGCAGGAACCTCAATGGTATCAACCCTGTCTCACATCAAAAGTATATTGGCATGCAAAACACCTCTGGCGGTGGTTTCTACAAAATTCCCTAAGACAATATCATAGTGACCACGTGTAGACTTCATATGAAATATTCGCTTTTTGTGACATTACTCGAAAATTGAGACGTCCCGGACTTTCGCTAACTACGTCATCAGTTGCCCATGGACGTTCCTGACCACTGGCCTTATTTAAACAGATTCACTTTCATTATAGAGGTCTCACAGATAAGATGTGGAAGGATAAATGCATATTTACAGAGATCCGTATGAGGACTAGCGGATGTGAGCCTTGTGACGCAAGGCCGCAAACTTCCCACAATGAACGCCTACCCTCCTCTGTTGGTGTAAAGACATTCGTAAAACACACATGCTAGCCAAGCGAGATAGCAGATTCAAAAACTAGTATATTCACCCACCCGTAGGTGCCGTGTACATATGCAGTTAAAGTCAGTTAAGCGGAGAGTTCAGTATTCGGATAGAGAAGTCTTCCGTCAGACGCAGGGTCCTTTCGGTATACCGAGTATGTCAGTTTATTAGAAAACAGAGCGTGCTTATGTAACTTGCAGGCTGTCTCGTGCTCCAAGAATATTGATGTGGTCAAAAGTCTCATGATGAGTTAGAAACATAACTCTAGTTGCCCACTTCAGGCCTGCGGACAAGGAATCCTCCATTGTCCAAGTGACGTTTGACATCGCTGACAGTATATTCACCTCGGTGGAACTGTAAAAGGGTGGATAAAAAATCAGTCACCAGGACAGGACGGGTTCTCGTAAGGGTTGAACGGAATACTACTACTTACCATGCCAGCGCCTAGGGCAGCATCAGTCGTAGTATTTTGGAAGACTTCTGCAAAATGTTCGGGTTTTCCAGCACCACTGGAGGCGATTACTGGTATCTTAATAGCGGCTTTCACGTCATTGATCAATTCCAGATCAAATCCGCTGTTGCTTCCGTCCTTGTCGATGCAATTTAGCAAAAGTTCACCGGCACCCATTGCTTCGACCGCCTTCGCTAGTTGTCGGACGTCGAGGTCTCGCGACTCTCTGCCACCTTTAATGGTACACTGGTACCAGCAAAATGCCTGACCGGCGGCATTTGGGTACTTTGTCCGGATTGTATGATGGTTGGTATCCTCTGGGCCGTCCACATAGACACGTTTAGGATCCACACTCACGACCACAGCCTGGTTACCATATGCTTTGGATATAGATTCTATAGCCGTCTTGCCTGTCAGCTTTTCGCCTCCTTCATAATATTCCTCTGCTGCGATAACAGCATCCGAACCAATGCTGACTTTGTCAGCACCGGATTTGAAATACATCGTCGCAACATCAAGAGCTGAGACGTGAGTGCCATCTGTATCAATAGTGTCCTTGATACCGCCCCCGATAGTCAGCGGCACGAAAACAGTTTCTGAAGTCCTCCTGAGGATTTCCAGCATGGGAGCATCTGCAACAGGACAATTTCTGAAGGAAGTGATGTTCAAGAACGTGACCTCATCAGCTCCTTGCTCGTAGTACTTCTTGGCCATGTCCACGGGCTTCCCCAAGTTTCTGACTTGGCCTCCTGTATCCACCCCATCCTTTTCACGGACATCATACTGATCTCCTTTCGTGACGACGAGGTCACCAGAATCATTGGTGCGCACATCAAGACAGGCAATGATTCTACGTGTCAGCCCATCTTTCTTGTCCAAGGAGAGCGACGCTTGCGGGGTAAGCGTTTGGAAGCGATCACCATTTAGGAAGGCGCTAATAGTCCGTAACCCAGCCTGGCCACTTTTCTCCGGGTGAAATTGAGTCGCGAAAATATTCTCTCGCGCAATAGCACCGATAAACTCTTCTTCGCCGTAAGTAGCTGTGGCGACTGACCAGCCGTCCTTCTCAAGGAGCCCTGGGGTGTAAAGAGCTGCGTAAGAGTGGACATAGTAGTATTTGCTGTTTGGGCTTAATCCGTAGAAGCTCCGATTCTCTGCAGACTCAAGCTTGGTGTCTATAGCAGAGTTCCAGCCTATGTGTGGTACACTCTTAGTGTCGGGATTGAATTTCTGCATCCGCATCGGAATCAATCCCAGCCCCGGAACATGGGAGTCCTCCTCAGACCCTTCAAAAAGTGATTGCAGACCAACGCAAATCCCCATGAATGGCTTTCCAGAAGCTATGTGTTGCCTGATAGGATCCAAGAAGCCTCCCTCTGATAGTTGAGATAAGCAATGGCCGAAATGACCGACACCTGGTAGGATGAGTTTCTGCCAAATAGTCAGCGCTACACTGAAAAAAAAAAGTATGTACCATCATCCTGGTTACCTCCGCATTCTTCAAATCACTTGGAGACTTAATCCATTCCACCTCGTAGCCGACTTTGTTGATCGCATTGACCAGGGAGCGGACATTTCCGGCGACGTAATCTAGCAGATGTACTGTAGGCATCGTGGCATGCGTTCTATCAATGTCTTATGTAAGTCTAAAAACGATGAGCATAAGTATAGGTCTTCGCTGATTTGAAGGCCAATATTCCTGCGGCCACTCCCAGCAGTAGGTCTTCGAAATTATTGCCTTGACAATAGGAGAAGTTGCAATTTGACTTGGGAAGATTGTTCTTCTTCACCCCACCATGGCTGGCGATGCCGGGCTGAGTCATTCGCAACAACCCACTTTTGAGTTACGTTAATCCAGTAGGTAAGTATGTCTCCAATTGTGATCTCGATCTCCACTAATACCATGTGTACGTTCATTCCTCCTATCCTCTATCTTGCTCTTCCTTCCTTCTTATGACTCTCTTGCCCATATGTGCCCCTCTCAAAGTAGTTTGTAGTTTTACTTCTAATCCCTAGTTCACTTTTCTTTCACTCCCTAAACCCTATTCGCATGTTCGGTTTTTGGTACCGATTAATACATTATTGCCGGTAAATCGGAGGGTGGGACCTGATGAACGTTGACCGCCTTTGCTATGAGCATTGAAAGAAAGCCTGAATCACCACTTAGTCTATACCCCTCCTCCCCGCGTTGTATGTTTCCGTAGTACCTATAAGCACATACCAGTGGTTACTTACTCCTAAGCCGAGTTGGCGCCTTGACCTCTGAGCAGCCGCCAGTTTGCTTATGATATTTCCTTGTTCTACTACGACATGCACCGAACAGGAGCATCGTGGGGATTTTCGTGTTATACCAGGTGACTACGGAGCACAGTACGTAAAGAAACAACCGGAGGATGACTGTATGTTAAGCCCAAACATCTTCGCTATCGCGTCGCTGGGAGTACGGCGATACCTGAACTCCATCGGAGCCGGACGCAGATATAGCCGGCAATCTACATGTATTCGCTGCATAGCTTCTTAGTACTGCAGGTGGACATGTGCTAAAGCGGGACAGAGTCTGAAATATGAGTTCCAATACACTCATAATCAGCTCATCTCCGGACTTGTTAAGTTCCATGATTTAGGAGTATGCAATTTGGAGAGATAATCAAGATTATACTCGAATCTATTCGTCCGAGTAGCACCCATATCAGGGCCGTACAAACCTATTTAGTACCCCCAGAGTTCTCAAGATAAATGAGCCCCTTTCGAGGCTGCCAACAATATATTAGCGATGACTGGTGAAGTGCCAAGGGAGTGCCCGTACCGGAGAGAATTGCCTAAGTTTTACCCCGGCCGCTTTTAGAATAGCAGCGCTCTTATCTGGTCAGCAAAATGACAAAGTGTGGACAGCAAAGGACATACATCGTTATCCATATTATACCCTTGCGAGTATACGACTTCTGTTATCCCAACTTGTGTAATTTTGACGGTACATGTCAAGCAAGGGCACCTAACCGGCTTAAGCAATGTGCTGTGCATCTTCAGAAGTTCGGGGATTGACGTACGTGTCACAATAGAGTATTGCACCCTCTCGTATGCGCTCTCTTCCGGCCTCCAGCAACGCATTCTCTTCGGCATGGAGGCAGAGGCATGTTGATAAACCCACACCTCCACCCTCACCACGGTTGCACCTTGGACCTAGTCATAGTAAGTGCCTGTACATTCAATCAATAGTACAATGTGTAATCTTTAGGTTTCGTACAGCCGCCCTCATTGCAATTTCTAATGTGCCTGGGGGTTCCATTATACCCTGTGCTTATGACACGACGATCACGGACAAGCACGCAGCCCACCCTTCGCTTCATGCAGTTACTTCGCTGAGCGGCTAAAGATGCCAGCTCCATGAAATACTGATCCCAATTAGGCCGTAACCGCTCCTCGTCGGCAAGATTGAGGGCTTTGAGAGCCGCATGCAGTTCATCAAATGAAGAAGAGGAATTGAACAGCCGTACTTGTGCCCGATCAGTGAGGTATGCGCGTCCAACATTTTTGTCGTAGAGATGTCTGTCATTCCATAATACAAATTTCTCCAAAGGCGGTGGTTCGACCAGTCTATCCCGGCATCTACAGATGGTGCGTTAGCTTAGCTACGATGCTCGTAAGGTTATCAGGGATCCAGACCTGTCCACAAATCGCTTCCATCTCAAGCTCACCGGCGCATCAACGCTAACTAGAAGGAAGAAGGGGCGTTGAAAGAAACGGTCTAAGATAGTGACATCCCAGATGTCTGTTGTAACCCAATGTTCTTGCCATCGTTTGGTTACGAAGTCTAAGAGGGCTTTAGAGTCCTCAAATATAAGGTGCGGTGGCGGACTACTTTCATCCTCTGCAGACTCCAGTGCCTGTAATTGGCGATCGCCGTCGGCTTCATCAGTTACTCGAAGGGAGCTGACATCTTTCAATTTGAGAAGTCGAAAGCCCTCCTTCTGTATCAGATAATCTGCGACAGCATGCTTTCCAGAACATATGGCTTTGCCGCATAGTATTAGCATACATTGAAGACACCAAGACACGCTGCTTGATAAGATGCTAACCTCCGCATAGGCCTATCAACATGATTACCTGCTTGGTAAAGCCAGTGTAAAGGTCAAAGGCAGGAAGAATGGATAAGCGCGCGTCCCCGAGTTTGGGGAAGAGGGGCTGGATCCTGGGTTGGACAGGAGGGCATGCAGAGGTCGGATTAAGCTGGGCGAATTGAATAAGTAGGGAATTTTTCACATGTACATCTAGGCACCAGGTACGGGGTGCCAGGAACATGTAACTTATTAACGGATTGATACACACATAGATAATTACCCGCTCACCTGGCCCCCACTTTCGCTCAATGATTTTGAGCAAACTGCGGGCCATACGAAAGTAAGCTTGAAACAGTAGCGGCTCTAGTAGGCCAACTGGCAGAAATTGCTCCAAGACATGGGAAAACTGTAGTTTCTGGCCAGTAATGATTTCATTCAGGCCTTTGCTATGCACCTCCGTAGAGCTCTTGTTAATTATCCAATTATTGGTTACCTGGTAGTCACTGCATTCACTCTTATAAACAACTTCATAGATTTGATGCATGGCAGGCTGGATTCAATGAAGAAAGCGCACACTTTCCCTCGGAAACCTATTTAATACGAGGTTCCTGTAGTATTTAGTACGTATTAAGTTGTGTTATAAGCCGTGGCTGATTCTGGCACCTAGTTATCTATCTATACGCGGAATGCCAAGTTTTTCTACTGAAAAGAAAAGGTAAATGCTAACTAACTACTTATCTACATTGCTGGCCCTTATACTTTTAGCGCATTTCCGTTCGGCAACGGTGCTTCTTAGAGCTATCGCCCTTTAGGAAGTTTGCAATACATACGTTCAATTTACTTATTGACCATCAAAAAGCACGTACCAGAAGATTATATCAGTACTATGATTTAGGAAAGTCAAACTATCTCTACGGAGATAAGCAGGCAACCTATACTTTCCACATCTGGCATAAAGTCACGTGACTGAATGCGCTAGCTCGCCACCACGAAGACTGTTCCCGAGTCGCTCTCCAGGCTTTGATCATACCCTTGCACATGTCCTGGAGAATGCACTGATTGTTTAAGATTGCCTTGTTTCTACCCAGTTGCTTTCCCTCAACTTATATGGCTCTTTCCCCTTGAATTTATATTGGTCAATTCAACTGTGACGCCGTTGTCTCCCGCACCCAAACCTGCACGCATATCTCTCTTTCAAACGCCCTCTTACCTTCGCTGCGTCTTTGCTTCCCCAAGTCTCGTCCACTTTGGTCGTATATACTATTCCATGCCTTGATTGCCTAAAGCTTGTGGAAGTGCCCCAAGGCTGTTCTCAACGAAGATTACATGAACTCATATCTCTTGAGCTCGGTCGCAAGCGCGAATTAGATGGGTTGCGGCGTCTGATGCTGCTTGTTATACTGGCAAGGCCCGCGGAGCTTTTTATAACTCACATTATCTTACTGCAGACTAGTTGGCTTCGTCTCTGTATCCACCGGACCTTACATCTTGTTTGTATGCAGTGATTCGAACACTTGCCGCGCAGCACTCAAGACGCTTCTTCAAACTACTGAGTTCGAGCAAAGCCCTCGATAGATACTGGGTTTACGATCTCTAAGCATTTGAGACAGGAGTGAGGCTATACGTCATACTGTCATCTGCAATTTGCCAACCGTTCCGATTGTTGCTTGTTATCATTTGTCTGCCTTTGTTCTCGTGTATCTCTTGTGAAAGTGGCACCCCTCTATTGATCTAATTACATTCGCAACACCATCATTGACGTGCAATTGAATACAATGTCATCCTCTGTTCACTTCAAGTTCAAGTCTCAAAAGGAGCCTTCAAGGGTGACTTTTGATGGCACCGGTATCTCTGTCTTCGAATTGAAAAGAGAAATTATCAATCAGAGTAGACTGGGTGACGGGACTGACTTTGAGCTGTCTATCTACAATGAAGATACTAAAGAAGGTTAGTAGCTTCTGGAAACTGATTGCCTTGGTTTTACCGTTCATATCCACCTTGGTCCGCCCAACCCGTATGGCAAAGCGAGAACAGGTCGTGGTTGAAGATAAGAGAAAAGATTCTTGGGGACTGACCGTTTGTTTTTATGAGACAGAATACGACGATGACACCAGCATAATACCGCGTTCTACGTCCGTCATCGCTCGGAGATTGCCTGCATCACGCCCAGGGAAGGGTGGTGCTGCTCGTTATGTTTCCGGGAAAATGCCAGTCAATGCGCGCAGTGCCCCCCGTAATGAACAATTTCCCTTGACTCGAGCATCTCCCAATACTAGCAACGGTGTTTTAGAGCTCAACAATGCCCAGACGGAGGAAGAGAAGATCAATGCACTGTTCAATTTGCAAGCAAATCAATGGAAAGAACAGCAGCAGGAAATGGCAAAGTAAGTGTGTCTATATGTAGTAAGACTTATTTTTCTTTTTTTCTCCTCTACTGGTACTGACAATTCGTCTCCCGAATAGCGCTACCCCTGTTCCATTTGGCCGTGGAAGGGGCAGACCTGTGAATGTTCCTGATCACCCCCCTCCCCCCGGCTACTTATGTTACCGCTGTCGTGAGAAAGGCAAGCTGTTCTAATATGATCATTGAAAGCTAAAACTAACGGTGTATTATCAGGACACTGGATCCAAGCTTGCCCCACAAATAATGACCCCAAATTTGATGGGAAGTATAGAGTAAAACGATCAACCGGTATACCCCGTTCATTACAAACGAAGGTCGAAAAGCCGGAATCCCTCACCCTGGACGGCTCAAACGAGGATCCGAGGAACACAGGTGTCATGGTTAATGCCGACGGCGATTTCGTCATAGCGAAGCCTGACAAGGCAGCCTGGGAATTATACCAGGAAAAAGCCAAAGCCTCCGCAGCAGCCGCAGCAGAAGCAGCAGCAGCAGAGTACAGCAAAGAACTGCAAGCACGTGGTTTAGAGTGTCCGATTGACAAGCGAATGTTTTTAGAGCCCACTAGAACTCCGTGCTGTCAAAGGACATACTGCAATGATTGTATTACCAATGCATTAATCGAGAGCGATTTTGTATGCCCTGGCTGTGGAACGGAGGGAGTATTACTCGATAATCTTACTGTTGATGATGAGGCTATCTGCAAGATCAAAGAGTACGAAGCTGAAAAAGCGGATTCGAAGAAAGAGAAGGACAAGCAGCAGGCAAATGACAATGGTCCCGGTATTGACAAATCAGCCATGCAAGGCAAAGGGCCTGTTGCAAATACGGAGTCTTCGCCACCAATTCCGCCTAGTCAACCAGCTTCGAACAAAAGACCTGCTGAAGATGAACCTCCCCGTACTGCCACTAGTGGATCAAGTCCTAGTTCGTTGTTCAAAAAGCTGAAGACAAACGACAAGGCCGATTCACAAAATACACAGGCTACTGGTCCTGTGGCCGGTTTTCCAGCTTTCCCTTTCGGCCAGCAGATGCCGTTCGGGAATTTTGGATTCATGCCGAACCAGGGGATGCCTACGATACCATTGTCTGATCCTATGAACTCTATGGGTGTTCCTTCGTCTGGTGGTTTCCCACCTAACATGGATCAATCGTGGAATCCCATGAATGCTATGAGTTTTAGCCCTGCCCCAGGAATCTATGGCGACAATGTGAACAATTATGCCACACCGAACCTTTACAACGGCGTCGGAGAGCCATCTATGAACATGTTCCACATGCCTCAAATGATGGGACTTCAACCGAATCCTGGTCTTGCGCAAGGTCCCGGAATAGGTCGATTTTCAAACCAGCAGAGAACAACGTTCAGTACACCATTTGCCAGGGAAGAAGATACGGCTTATTTTCGGCAACCTGTTAATCCACAACGGCACCAAGCGAGACACAGGAGGATACGACCAAGTGACTATCGAGAGCTCTGAGGTGGTAGAGAAAAGTCACTTCGACGTGTCCGCGGTTGTTAGGTCTCAGGTCTCCCTTTTTCCGATATGTCTTGCTGTTCACCCCGTCATTCTCTATTCTTTTCATGTTCATCGGCGTTCATAGCTGCTACTTGATTCATTGTCATGTGGGCATGTGCATGTTGCAGGCTTTGCCCCCTTGAAATTTGCACAGTGTTGGAGTTGCAAGGAGATGGTTCCGGCTCTAACGGGCTTGTTATTTGAAGGTGCAATTGAATGTACACAATGTAATATTAGCGCCACATTAAGCAACTTGCCAAATGAAAGGTCTAGCGACTACCGATGCATTTATTAGTTGCAAAGTGGTCGTAGATAGTAGTAATCTTCATGAGGCCGGTCTGAGATCAAAGCCGCTCCGCCATTGGGAATCCACATATGGGAATTGCCTTCGTGAAATCAAGATATAACATCCATCAAAACTAGAGCTTTATTAGAATGACATGCAAATTTCGATACATTACAGTGTTTAGGGGGCCTATCAGACACTCATGTGTATATGATTGTCAGTGGGCAAAGGTATCCGTCGTTATCTACATGCATAACCACCTGAGGATCCTGCGAAGTACCACATAGACCACCTCGCACATGTGAATTCCTATGTAAAGTTACGTCTCTCTAAGCAGCAGATATGTAGAGGTTATTAAGTCAGCATTGGGCATCTGATCAGATGACAAGAGTAAACTCAACTAGTTAGTTGGTTAACTAAAAAAGCTATAGATAACTACCAGGCACGCAATAACTTAAGTTAGTTAGTTATGTTCCGGCCTGACTAATGGAGCCCCACATGTCATGTTAGTACTCCGTAGTAACTAGTCCCAGGAATCCACGGGAGACCACCCCAGTTTATCCCATCCCTACTTAATTACCATCCAACCTCTAGTACACCTGCACCACCTTTCCGCATCGGTTGTTATTGCATCCTAACATTATCGCAGCTGTCAGAAAGTTATTACAAGATACCTACCCAGTGGGCCCGAAATCTTATACGTATTCTCAAGCCGCGCCCACCTGTCCCGAAAGATAGCACATCTAATCTTCAACTTCTAAGATCCATCCATCATCATGGCCAAGTCATCGAATCACAACAGTAGCACCCGAAATCAGTTGCAGTGTACACTCGACAAACATCCCCAGGCTAGCGTGCTTGCCAGTTGTTACAGCGTCAAATCATCCACTTCCGTGATCGATAGTTTCCACTACTGCACTACCGCGGGGGCCGGTACGATGCCCCTTTCCGCAATCGATCATTATGGTCTAAACTTCATAACTACCTGCTAACTTCTGATCATCTTTTTAGGGACACAGTGGTATCCCTGAGGTCCCTTCGGGGTCAAAGACATCTCCAAGTCCTCCCTTTGGACTCTCCATCGCTCCAGGCATGGGGGTTAGTTGGCCGGGCAATATATTACCGGAATATAAAGGGGAGGCAATGCATACTATCCCGGAAGAGTGTGAGAGGCTCTTCTGTGACACATTGTCTGCGATCTTTCTTGGTGAGAGGAGCTTCGCTGGACAAGAGTCACTTGGGGTAGGTGCGTCTCAAAGCCGGCCGAACAATAGTATGCCGATTGAACAGTGGTTTGAGCTGTTGGATTACACCAGCGACACTATACACCGTGGTTTTGTAACCAATGCGAGCGGCGAACCGACCTTGTTTGTTTTCCTTGCAGAGAACGCACTCGGTCACGGACTGAAAACAGGGTATGTGCACCAATGTTCTCGTCTAAATGTAGACGAGGTATAAACCCGTGGATATCACTAACATACTGTCGTGTTTGTTCCCCATAAGGTTAATTGCCCTGTTTGAACTTGCTAATATATCTGCTTTTGGGTGCCCCCGAATTGTGGCATGTGTACCCCGTTCGCACGATGCAGTTGAACTAGAAGCTGTACGGAACCTCGGTTGGTGCGGATTCAGTTTGACTACTTTGCAACCGTGGAGTGGTGCAAGAGACGTCGAACGCTCGCTTAGCACTAAATGGCTTTTCTTGGATGCGGAGGTTTAGCTGTAGGCAACCAAACAGCTAGTTGACTTATTCTAACAAGGAGCAAAGGCCAAATGACATGAATAATTGTTATATAAGTATTGATTTTGGGTTATGCTTCCATTCCCTAGTCAGGCCGAAAATGGCCTCACATTTGTAGTTAGCACATCAGCCGGGATCCATAACTATAGACTTTGTCAGATGACCATGTCATGACTCGTTCCGATCGCTAGATCGCCAAGGAACGGGTGATGACCTCAGTATGATACCTACCCATTTCCATATACCTCACTGTAACAACTGCCTCTTCTATGCTAAAGATACTAGAACTATGATAAAAACTAGCAGCATTCTTTGATGCTCTCGCCGTTTAGTTGCTACACATGCCCCCCTATTCACGTACTTCACAGGGCAAAGATCCTATATCCAAGGCTCTATGTTTCCTAAATTCTTGCTCCAGCCATCTTTCTTCCGAACCAAACAGCGAAGCGTGAGGTCCAGAGTGCCATCTTCGGAAGAAGAATCCGGACGATTTCTGAAGCCAAGTGACGGCGGTTATCTGGAGGGCCATGTCTCATGCATCCGCTGTTCACACTGTGCAGCAGATATATGCCTGACGTCGCAGATAATCAGCAAAGGATTCACCGGTCGCTATGGCCGTGCCTATCTTGTGTCCGGCGAGCCTGCGCTCGCTAGAGGACCTTCACCAACCGATACACTTCTAAATACGATGATACAGCAGCCCGTGCCGCGGAGACTGGTCACTGGTGCGCACACAGTAGGCGACATCAACTGTTCCATTTGCGGAAATGTGCTCGGCTGGAAATATATCGCTGCCGAAGAAGAGTCGCAACGTTACAAGGTCGGCAAGTTCATTTTGGAGACCGAAAAAATTATGACATCTTCTTTTTGGGAATCGCCCGCCTTTGTTGAAACAGCATTACTCCCCGCGTATACCAGCTCTACCGAGGTTGGACATGACCAACCTTCGAACAGTATAGAATTTGATAGCCAGAACGAAGATGAATGCGAGGACTTATTCTCTGGAATCTGGACCCCTGGGTTGGCTGTACGCCGAAGAAATCGCAAACTGCCCGAACGCCGGTCTTCCCTATTCGGAATCACAGCCCTATGATAATGAGTTATGCTCTTGCGCCTAATGAAGCTTCATGAGAATCTCCATGTTTGATGAAATGAAGTATGACCCAACAGCCCCGCAGTTTCAGACGGAGCAAGGTGGGGTTGTTTGCTACGAAACCACCTTGTTTTGTGCACCAGACGGCTCTGATTCTTTGATTCATTTTCTCCTTTTCTCCCTTATGGTTCGTTGGGAGCTACCTTAATCAGTAATAATAATATGTGGTATCACAATAGAATTCACAGATAACTTGGTGGCTATTTCTGTAAAATGTATAGTTATTTCTGCGGCCTCGCTTCATTGGGTATCATATCCGAATTAACGCTCTAAACCTTTGAGCAAATGCTAGCATGATAGAGCACTTCCTCAGGTAATCTCTAGCTGCTACAAAGGGTTGATAGACAGAGCACCAGACACGTTGATGCCTCTGGCAATCAGTATACCCAGGTTCATTCAAGGTTATCGCCTGCTCGTGCTCTTTTTGTATCGCCTCCCGCGCCCTCTTCCGGAGCCGACCGTTTTGTTAGAGTCTCACTCTTCTGGGGTGGCTTCTTGCTCGCAGGTTTTCTTTTGATAAACGCAGAAAGGTCATTTGCTTCTTTTGTGACAGCATCGAGATGAGCCTTTTGCTCCGAAGGGGAATGCCCCATAATCTGACCCAAAATACCCTTCAGCACTGTGTTATCTGCATCGCTTTTCTCAATAGCAGATACTGGCGGGCGTCGAAGATCGACAAGCTGTCAAAATTCTTAGTAACTGTAGCCGAAGCAAAGGAAGTAGGAAGGGTATGCGATGAAGGGATTTGGAAAGGCTGTTGCTTACCCTTTGCTCCATGTCTGCTATGATGTCTTTGACATTTGCTATTCTTCTCTTCATAGCGGTCACCTTGTCCTCATCCAATGAATTATCGTCGACCAACTTCTTCTGTTCTTGATCCATCCTCAGACGGCAGCTTTCAATAGCCTTTTCCATTTGAGCTGCGGCCTCTTCCCTCATTTCCTCGTCGACCGGCCCTTTGAGGGTATTGTCCTCTTGGGAGCTGTCATTCTCATTTTTGACGGAGCCAAATTCTAGGGCAAGAGAAAGCTTGTAGTGACATTCTGCAACAGAAGGATCTTCAATCGGAAACAGAGACTGCCTTAAATCCAGAGACGTCCTCAGGTCCGTCACCGCATCTAAAAACCTTTCTGCCTCCAGTGAGATCTCCGCTTGTAAATCGTACGTATCCGCGAGACGTTCTTTGACGTGTCTGAGATCTGGAGGCAAATCTGCGGATTTCCCTTTGCCAATTCCCTCCTCTATCGTAGTTATCTTTTTGTGGTATAGCACGCGCGCCAAGTCAAGAACTTCGAAGGCATTGGCAAAGTCGTCTTCGTCATCGGCCGCACCTTCCTCACCGTCGGCCTCGTCTTCCGAATCCGAGTCGTCAAAGTTCTCATCACCAGTGAATTGGAAGTATGGCTTAGCTGGAACATCACCAGTATTTGACTTCTGGGCTCCCGCGAACTTCTCAGGTGGGCCCTGGGCGACAGCTTTCTCAACGATACCTGCGGTTGTGGCTGTTGCCGCAGCGGATGGCCTCTCGACAGATGCGCTGCTCGGCTGTGATTCTCCAGCTACCTTGGACCCAAGCACATCGCTCTTGCTGATGGCAACATTATAGAGGGCTTTTCCGTAGGCGAATAGTAAATCTGCATTTTCCAGCGCTAGTTCTCCGTTGAGCTCTGCTTGAAGTTCCGTGGCCTCAGAATATAGCTCTGCAGCGGCGTTGTAATCCTTGATGGCATCTTTGGCGGCAGCTTGCTTGATAAGGTCGTCCAAAGCTGTTTGAGTCTTTGTACTATCGTCTTTCGGGGATGTACTTGGTTCCATTATGGATGTGTGTGGTTGATGGTAACTTAGTGGACGAGGAATGAACCAGAACCAACCCAACAAGGAAATCCCTCCAATAGGCGGGGGGAAATATGATAATTGGGGTGGAAAGAGGAGTATCACGAAAAGAGGCTACTCTGGCGAATTTTATGGTGCCTTTGATCAAAATAGGTCTGGTGTGATGATCAGTGCATGAGTACTGAGAAAGATCAAGGATAATGGCCTTGTAGGTTGTCGCAAAAGTGGAACAAATCGCGTGGGGAACGCGCGTGCCGCCATTACCACCGCCACGACGCGTTCTGCTTGATCTACTCCATACGTCAATGCCTCGTCCAGGTAGGTAAAGGTTAATCAGTCAACCGGCGTTGGCAGGATCACCTTGTACTGACAGCGGTTCTCAGTTCTTCCCTCGCCCTCTCCATTCCCTTGAGTTTTTCCCTCTTCACCCATTCCGAGGAACTCTACGAGTTTCGTGTCGTGACATTGTCCCCGCACGATATCCGGCAGTTAGACGCGCATTCGACCAAGAGCGGATTTGCAGTACCAGTGTCGCAGCCACAATCTACTATCTGAATATGGACTCGGACCCCGTACCTTCATCGTCACCCGGATTTGGGACTCCCGCCTATCCATTCCGAAAGAACAGACCCAATGCGCTGCCTACGAGGACATCTGTCCTTCCCATACTGCTCCCTCCTTCGACTCTGCGGCCTGTGGCCTTCCGTACCTTCACGCGCAAGCATAACCTAACGATATCCTCTTCTGCGCTTCAAACACTAGCCACCTTCGTGGGGAAGAATTGTGGCTCGGCATGGCGCGAAGAAGGTCTCGCAGAAAGAGTACTTGATGAAGTGGCCAAAGCCTGGAAGAAAGCTGGCGGTGGTGTTATTGTCGATGAGGGTAAGGGCGCCTCACTGAAAGCCATCCTCCAGGCTTTAGAGAGCAATATGAGTGGGGGAAGGGTAGTCTCTGGGAAGCACGCCACGTCAGATGAGGTCCCATCAAGAACGACAAGTCCCGGCCAAGGAACCAGACGCTCTAGGGCCGATCCGCCATTGTATGCAGCGGCAGGGCTGGAAGGAGAAGGTTCAACAGAAACTTCCGATGTCCCCTCACACCCGAGACATTGGGTTAAAGTTATCGAGGCGTTTGATATACCGCGATTGACTTATAATGCGGATAAGAAATACTTCGAAGTCGCAAGATCAAGGCCTACCCTATTCCCCCCCTCCTCTCACAGAACGAATCTGTTCAGAGATCGTTACAATGTCATCCATCAGCGTCTACTTCGGCATGAGTCATTCCAATCACCGTCCGGTCCCTCGCATATCTTGCGCCAACCACCATCTTCTTTAGCGGTTACCCAAGGCTACAAGCTCACACCAATCGCGAATTTACTCGGGAGAAATGGCACATCACACCTTATTCTAGGTTTACTCTCAACGTCCCCAACGGGCGACTTAACACTGAGCGATTTGACGGGGAGTATTTCCTTGGACCTTAGACACGCGCGGATGGTGCCTGAAGATGGAGCTTGGCTCGCTCCAGGGATGTTTGTCCTCGTTGATGGGATCTATGAAGAAGAGGAAAATGTCAGGGGGTCCACTCTAGGCGGCAATTCCGGGGTTGGGGGTGCCATTGGAGGAGTTTTCGTGGGCGTTTCTATATGCGGTCCTCCCTGTGAGCGGCGGGAGACATCTCTTGGGATAAACAACCAACAAAGTGGCAGGGAGGTCAGTTCTAGTGGAGGACTTGGATGGATTGACTTTCTGGGAGTCGGAAGTGAACGTGCACGTGGCCCGCGAATGAGGCAGATTGAAACCAACTACCTGCGAGATGTAACTAAAAGCGAGCGCCGGTTAAGGGTGGCTGCTTTGGGGGAGGTCAATCTGGATAACATGCGGACTTTGGACGCGTTGCGGAAGGTCTTCAGCGTCTATCACCAATTGCCTTCGGAGGAGCGGCCAAGCATATTTGTCCTGACGGGGAATTTCGTGCAGAAAGC